GAAATAACGTCGGCATCGGAAGTGCATGGAATGCATGGTGGAGTAGGAGTGGGCGCCGACGGGTGAGCAGGGGAGGTCGTCGGACTCGTGGATGAGTCAACATGCGGCATGCTGGAGGGAGGTGATTGGTCGGTTGGTGGTGACGTGGAGGCTGTGTGAGGAGGTGAGGATGGTGCCGTTTCGGGAAGGGGTGAGGCAGGAGAAGCGGCAGTATGTACTGTGTCCATATCAAGCTGAAAAGAAGGTCTAGGAATCCAATGTAGGTTCCGCTGGGTAGTTTCTTGAAAAGGAAATTGATCCTCATGAAATTTCACATCACGGGAAGTGATCATGCGGCGAGTGACAAGGTCGTAAATTCGGTAACCCTTCTGAGAAGTAGCATATCCGAGAAAAACCCCAGCACGGCCGCGCTCAGAGAACTTGTCAAGGTGGCCGTGTGTATCTTTGTAGTAGACTAAGCACCCGAAAACTTGAAGGTGACGATATCCAGCAGGTTTACCGAACAAAGATTCGAAAGGCGTCTTACCAGTAGCAGTAGTGGGAAGACGATTGATGAGATATACGGCAGTGAGTATGCACTCGCCCCAAAAACGAAGAGGGAGACTAGCTTGAAACCGGAGATCTCTGGCAGTTTCAAGGATGTGACGATGCTTGCGTTCCACCACCCCGTTCTGCTGAGGAGTGTCGGTGCACGATGTCTGGAGCAAGATCCCTGCAGCATCATAATAATTACGCAGCGGTGCAGTATTAAACTCGGGGCCATTATCAGCTTGGATACGCTTAACTGCTGCCCCGAACTGAGATTGCACCATGCGGCAAAACTGTAATAGGTGCCGACCAGCCTCAGACTTAAACCGGAGTAAATAAACCCAAACTCCACGTGAAAAGTCGTCGACAATAGTCAGAAAATAATGAGCACCGCTAAGAGATTCAACTGGATATCCACCCCAAAGATCAACATGAATTAATTCAAAACATCTGGTCGTCCGAATAGTACTAGACGGGAAGGGAGTACGACATTGTTTGGCTCTTGAACAAGAATGACAAATGAAATCCAAACTGTGAATAAATGAAGGAGATAATGTGTGGCTAATATGTAAAAGCTTGTCGGAAGAGGGATGCCCCAGACGGGCATGCCAGGTAGCCTCGGATACACGCTGCTGCTGTACGGAATAAGCTTGTGTGCGGCTGGTGCCAAACAGTCGCAGGTAGTAGAGGCCATCCTTCAGTTCACCCTTCCCAATCAACCTCTTGGAGAGTAAGTCCTGAAGAACGCAAAAACCGTGAAGAAATATCACTGCGACACGATTATCACGTGTCAATCGGCTAACCGAAATCAAGTTACAGCGGAAGGCAGGAACATGGAGAACACGAGGGAGAGTGAAGCCAGGTTGTAACTCAACTGAACCAACAAGTTTAACAGGAATGCTATCACCATTCGGAATGCGAACGGGCTGCCCACTAGATGGAATGGTTTTATCGGATAGGAGATGTTCATGCATGGTGATATGTTCATTACACCCGGAATCGAGGAGCCATTCAGAACTGTCAGAAAAAGTACCTGCCATATGAGCAGCAGGATCATCAACGTTGGAATCCGAGCCTTGAAAATATTGTTTGAGCTGTTGTAACTGCGCCAAAGAGAACCCCAGCAACGGGACTTTGTTCAGTCGCCGCTTGAGAAGCTTTAGGCTCTCTGCTCACGCGATCTCACCTGCCAGAACTAGCACCACGATCGCGACGATCACCACGGCCTTCACGAGCTTTGTGGTCACGGGGAGGACGATCACGATCGCGATCACGAGGGGGGTAACCAATCAACTCCCAGCATGACTCGCGCAAATGCCCAGGCTTTTGGCAGTGGGTGCAGCGGCGACGATCGCGATCTTCAGCACCACGCTCCCGATCCGGTGTACCAGAGGACTTGTCGCGATCATCATGCGCAAGGAATGCTGCTGCCTCGGGCGAGGAACGACGATTCTGAGCAATGAGTTTCTGCTGTTCGGCATTTAAGATGATGTTGAATGCTTCACCGAGAGTGGGGATAGGTTTCATAGCAAGGACCTGTGTACGAACGCCACTAAAAGCGTCATCAAGCCCCATTAAGAAATCAAAGACCTTGGCGCTTTCTTGCTGCTCACGCACGTGCCGGGAGACGCCACACTTGCACAGCCCGCAAGTGCAACTTGGCGGAGGAAATATTGCAGAAGCCTCCTCCCAAAAAGCTTTCAACCGAGTGTAAAAGGTTGAAACGGAGCCTTTCTCTTGCTGGAGTAGTGAAATAAGGCGGCGGAGTTCGTAAGCACGAGAAGAGCTACCTCGCTCAAACCGCTCTTGGAGGTCGGCCCAAATTTCACGGGCGGTTTCAGCAAAGCGAACACTGCTGCGGAGTTCCTTGTCCATGGAAGTCTTGAGCCACCCTTTAACCATGGCATCACACCGAACCCACGCATCCTTGTCCGGCTGCTTGCTAGGTTTAGGTAAACTCCCATCGACGAAACCATATTTATTCTTGGCGAGGAGGGCATCTTTCATGTCGAGAGCCCATTCACCATAGTTGGAGGCGGAAAGAACATCGCCAACCAGCATATTCCCAGGGCCATCCGAACGGTAGAGCTGGAGTACCTCAGGTAAGGCATCGGGGGCCTTATTTCCTGGAGATGGCGTCACGGCGGAACCAGTATCTTCGCCGTCACTCATGATTCAATACGAGAACAGTTGATCAAAATCCCAGAGCTTGAGGCTCTGATACCATGTAAAATTGTGCAGTAAAGTAAATTGAGACTTGATTTTACGTGGTTCTTCCTCACGTTGTGTGAGGCTTACATCCACGGGAGAATACCCTTTTCTTCTTATTGATCTTGCGGCTTGATTACACAAGCCTTGGTTTTATACCCTATTACATCCAAATCAGCTAGGGTTACAGAATTAGCACGAGAAGAGGAATAAGGAAGTGCAGCCACGGGCCTATAGGTGCATGGACTGCATGGGCCTGACGTGGGCTCGAGTGCTGATTATTAGTAGCATGACTTCAGTCCAATAAAGTATGAGATGCTATCAGGCCAAAGCAAATGAAACCTTATGGTAAATATCATATGGAAGGGTAGATCTATTCCTAAATATAGATTCCTAGCTGTTAATCAAGGTTGTTGGGTGTCAGAAGCCTAGGTAGAGATAGTTTTGTTAGTGTTGTTGGTAGCTAGGGTCATCTAGCAAGATCTACTCAGCTCTATTTGGCGAGAGCGTCGTTCAGACTTTATGCAGAAGTTCATCGTGATTTAGATATCCAGCATAAGATGATAAGGCTGTAATCAAAAGTTTTTTTTTGAGTTCCAGAGGAAGACTCTTTTCTGGCAGAGTGAAGTTAACTGACTTATTCCTTGTTTTTGTCTATTTGTTAAACATGTCTTTTTCCCTCTCTAATGTGTACTTAGTAATTATTAAGGTTTGCTTTATCAATATGTCATATTGGACCTAATTTAACTAGCAAGATTATTGCTAGGGTTCTTTTTTATGAAATAGAAATGGCTAATTCATAAAAAATAAACTAATTTCTGATAACTTATATTCAAATATTCATACTTGTATATAGGGACGGCAATAAAACCCATGGCCGCGGGTATCCGACCGCCCCCGACCCAGTCAACGCGGGGAATCCTCGCTTTGACCGGGTATGGGACGGGTATGGGTAAAATCCGCAAAAAGTTTGATGGGTATGGGGCGGGTATGGTTTTGACCTCCCCCGCCCCATACCCATACCCGCCCCACCAAGAGAATTTCTTCACATATAAAAAAATATGTGGATTAAATTGTAATCTATCAATGGTGATGAGGATAACTCAAGGAAATAAATAGTAGAAATGCAATTGAGTGACCATTTTAATCAAAATCTAATTCATTTTTCTCAATTCTCCTTTCACTCTTTCACTTTTCCCCTTGTCTACAAGATTATGTTAGTTAATTATTACTTAGTAGATGTATAAGAGTTAGAAGATAATAATTTGGAAAATATTATACTCTATATTATGTATTAATGGATGTTTTAGGATCATATACTTTGAACCGTATAAAGAAAATGATCGTGTTTTGTTGACTTCATGATATAATAGGTTCGTTTAGAGTAATAATTAAAACTTTTCTTGTAAATTTTAGGTAAAATAATGTTGGATGTATGGGTACGGGTATTACCCATGGGTACCCCACGGGTATGAGGATGGGTTTGCAAAACATTCCCCCGCATGGGTATGGGGCGGGTATGGGTTTGGGTATTTGAAGATGAGGATGGGGATGGTTTAGACAAACCCGCCCCAAACCCGCCCCATTGCCATCCCTACTTGTATACATTATTTATAATAGTTTATAATTATTTAATTATTAATACACCTAATTTTAAATTTTTAGCACTACTCACATAAATTTAAAATAAAAATTGTACATTAATTTGTAGAATATTTATGATAATTTAATATTAATTAGTCATAATTTGAAACTATCTATTCACTAATCTATGTAATTTACTTACAGTTTTATCTTTTTTATGATAAAAAATTTACTATCCATAATACGCATTTAATTTAATCAAATGGCAATGTCTACTGACGGTTTATAAGGACGGGTTGATAGCCGCCGCTAAACCAATCTGAAATATCATCCACCGCAGCGGACAGCGATACTGTCATCTCCCAAATACTTATTCGGCTTTCCACCGACGCTCCAGAATGACGCCGTTTGGGTTTTCTATTGCGACATTCAGGCCCAATTCAGACAACAGCAGGCCCATACTTTTCCATTGGGCTGCTGCGTTTACAGGCCCAACAAAGATCAGGGGCTTTAAGATGGACGGAGGACGGTACACGTGTCCGGGGAGGCGGAAACGAAGCTCGGCCTCTCACAAGTCACAAGTCGGTATGATAGCAATGGCGGGTTTACTGGTTTAGGCGCGGAAATTCAGAGAGGAAAGAAAGAAAAGGTAAATGAAAACAGAATGAGAAACGGAAACGGAAACGGATAAACGGTAAATATAATAATATAAAAAATAAAGTAAAATACATTAAATAAATAAATCAAACGAGAAAGGAGAAGACAGTGGGGAGAAATGGATTGGGGGTGCGCACTACTCGACGAGGCGCAAGTTAGCGGTCATCCGCTATATCTCTGGGTCCTTCCGTTTCCGCTTCTTTATCCCTCGAAACCTAGACGCACATCTGTTGTTTCGCTCGCATTCCCCTCCCACCCGTGTAGATCTGAAGATCACATCCTCTGGCCTCCTCTCCGTCTTTCCTCGCGCCTTCGGTTTTGGCGAAGATCGGCCTCCAACGTTTTCTTCTGCGCGAACCGCTCTTTGCCCCATCGCCATCAGGCCTTGTTGATTTTCAGAAGAACTTTTGAGGTAATTGATTTGCTTTTGCTGTTGGGGTTTCTTAGTTTCGAAGGGATTCGAATGTCTGGTTTTGCTGGTCGCGAATGATTCTCACTTGGTTTGTTGGGTCGATGGATTCTCTACTTTCGTTCTGGCATTTGGGTTTCAGATAAATTGACGATTTTTAGTTTGTGCATCAATCAATTTCATTTTTTGCTCTACCAAGAATCATGTTTAAGGAATTTGCGTTTGTGATTGATCTTTTTTTTTTTGGTAGAAGTGATTGAATTTTTTTTTTAATGCTGAAGATCTGAGCTACGGACGCAAAATCATTCGTCTGGACACCTCACGCTTTTTTTTCTTCTTTGTTCCAGATCAATCGTCATCCAGAAGTTGAATTTCTTGATTTCGGGTACCAGCTGAGTAGCTGCAATGCCGGCATATGATGATGTAAGAATGTTCCCTTCTTATTTGGACGAGGTTCTGTTACTTTGATGTTATCGTTGTTCCTTAATGTGGCTAATCTTTCTGCAGGCATATGATGACTATCAGGATGAAGTGGAAGGGGATGAAGAAGAGGAGGAAGAATATGAGCAAGAAGAAGAAATGAGACCTACCGCCGAAGAACTCAAATATCTTAGTTACAGAGAGCAGAAGAAGGAACAGATTAGGAAGAAGATGCAGAAGGAATATGGGGCAGCTGCTCCTAGGTCCCAAGATAATAAGCGAAAACCTCCTCTTGAAAGGTCTGTGATGGGATTTTGATATTTTCTCATTACCGGGTGACTGCTGTTCATCATTAAGATTTCTATGTTGTGGAAGCTGTAGAGGCTTGAAAATTATTTGTGGCTGTTAAGAATGTCGAAGCAGCGTCATTGATGTTAATTCTATGTCTCTCTCTGCAGTTTCGGTTCATTTTTTGGTCCTTCTCAGCCAGTTATAGCTCAGAGAGTTATCCAAGAAAGCAAATCATTGCTGGAGAACCCTCACTTGGCAATGAAAGTTATAAACTCACAGCGTAATGTACGTGTCCTGTCTGATTATTCTTGTTAGGATATAAATGTATGGCCCATTCATTATTTTCTTGTGAATGCAGTAAATTAGCTGAATATATGTGTATGTGTTTGATTTTGGTTGAGGCTTTCCCCCTTTTATTAATGGCTGCTTTTGTGGCTGAGGATATATTGGGTTTGGCTAGAATGACTTAAGACTTTTGAGTTCATGCTGGTGTTTGGTCTCGGGAATCTAGCATACGAGGACATGAAAAGAACCCTTTCCAATTTTTAGATATTGGGGTTACGTTGTAGTAGAGAAATGTATATGAGAATGATTAACCTGAAATTACATACTAATTTATTAATTGAAGTTAAAGATCCTGTGTGTTTACTTGGAAATCCATGATTTATCTAGTAAGATGGTTTATTGTCAAGAGTTTTGAATTGTTTGCTCTCTCCTTCATATGTGGTTCTTGCCCGGATGAGATATGGTGCTCTTTTGGTCACTATTGATTTGCGTAGCAAACTTGATATCATATACTCTTGGCTACTGCTTCAGGAGAAACGTAGTTCATCAACAGCCGCTGCTTCGACGAATGGTGTAACTGAGAGGATATCAAAAGTGAAAAAGGAGGTACTAAACAATACAGAAGAGGGGTGGGGGGTCGTTACATTTATAATCCTGTAATAATACATTTTCTGTTCTGCATACAGCTGCAAACAAAAGTCCAGAAAATCAAGGCCACAAGGGATTACTCATTTCTGTTATCAGATGATGTAGATGTCCCAGTTCCGGCGAAAGATCCTGCAGTAAAAAGAGTGTCTGTTCCTCAGTCTGGTGTGTTTCTGCTCCGTTACGTAGGGTTTTATTTGGGGTTCAAGGCTTTCTATCTTTATTGAGAGTAACTTATACAGGTTTTTTGCTGATAAGAGGCGCGATCTGCTCAAGTGCAACAGAAGAGTAAACAGCCTATGGGCAATGGTCACAGGCAGGCGAATGGTGCTCGTGAGCAGCAGAGGAGATCGGTTCCCATGAATGGCCAACCGCAGTTGAGAGCAGGGCCTGGCAAGGCTATTTCAACTTCAAGGGGTGGACCAACTGCAGCACCACTAGACTCAAGGAGGCAGCTCGGTAACTACAGTGGTATTGGACCAGGACGGCCATCGACAGGGTCAATGAAAGGGTTGCCTGCAAAGATTGCTGCTGGTCATGTGGAGAAGAAGAATCCTTTGCCAGCTTCCAAGACCATATTACCCGCAACTCGCAAGCCTCTCCCTTCAAAAATGCAGTCAAGCATTCAACGGCCTCAGTTGGAAATCCGGAGGGCAGTGCAAGAACCGAATAGACATCCCGCGCACAGAAGGGTCGTGCAGGATGCGAGTAGACAGTTGGAGAACAGAAAAGCAGCACACGAACCCAGTAGATCTAAATCGATATCAAATCAACAATCACACTCTAGACCACAGGTTTGGTGTTCTTTCACCTTTTTCAATGATTTTAGCTGTGGCAGCGTGGAAACTTTTGTGTCATTTATTAGTGTTGATGACCTCTGCAGATGAATAAGCCGCCTGTCAGACCAACCTCATCATACCCATCAGCACAACAGAGTCGTGTGATTAAAAGGCCTGCTCCTCAGCGTTCCGATGATGGGTACAATGACCGCTACAGTAAGCCAGTCAAAAGAATAGTCCAGCGTGATGTCCGACCTAAGAAAAAGCATTCTGAGGATGAAGACGCTTTCGCTGAGCTTAGACAGATGTTAGGGTAAAGCCGCTCATCCTTGATCTTCTTAGTTTCTTGTCATGTTGCTTCAGCAGTTGAATTGGTGCCTATTGATTTTTCCAATGGTCTCGCATTTTCTATTTCGTTGTGATGCCATCTTGTTATATGTTATAGCGTATACGGTCATCAGTCATGGTAAGACAAGTGTCAAGTGAGCTGCTCTGTTACTAAGCCACGGTCTTTCCCAGGGTAATGCATTTAGACAAGGTTTTAGGTGTGAGGGCTACTGTGTGTATTAGCAGTGCTGTGACTGTCATTGCTTGCCGGTATTTGGCGATATACAGAATTGTTGGGTCTTCTCTGGTTAGTTTTAGGGAGTGAATTAACACTGTCTTTCACCCTATCAACCTCTTTTGATGCAATGCTAAATCTCTGATGATTCATGAATGGTTTCTCAGGAGGCCAAAGTACGCGGATTATGATGATGATGATAACAGTGACATGGAGGCCAACTTTGATGACATACTGGAGGAAGAGAAGAGAAGGTTAGTCTTTATGGACCCCTTCGTCAATGGCAACGTCGTTTTGTTTTCCTCGTATTGATTCGCTCATTGTATGGCTTTATGGCATTTTTTAATATTGTTGGCTGCGGATGTTGTGTCTTGTTTTGGTTGGAATGTTGATTATGCAGCGAGAGAATAGCGAAGCAGGAGGATGAAGAAGAACTGAGGCTGATAGAGGAAGAGGAGAGGCGCGAAAGAATGCGAAGAATGGCTAAGAAGCGCAAGTTAAGCCATTAAACCGTTAGTTTTTGCATTCATCTAAAGGCGGGAGGAAAATGAAGAACAAGAGAAGTCGGTACTCATGTAGTTTGAATTGGGTCCTCATTGTTGCTCGATTTCAGCACAGATTTTTTTATAGAATGTTACAGATTTTTTATAGAATGTTATGTAGGCACAATTTTTAGATGTAATCTCATGGCCAAATAAAATATTGGGGGTTTCTTATGACCAATGCAGTCAAAATCGCGTTTTAAAACTTAAAAACTTACGATTTTACGCTTTTAGGTCACCAAAACGCTTTCGTTTCCATATAAAAACTTAAGTGTATAAAATCGGACTAAATCGCGCTTTAAAGCTTAAAAGCTTACGCTTTTACGCTTCTAATTCACCAAAACGCTTTACGTTTTTACGTTTTTAGTTCACTAAATGAGTATTCTTTTCATGAAATTAATTATAAAAAGTATATTTTAAAAGTAAATCACCAAGAATATGATACATTTGAGATTAAAAGATATATACCATGTACTTGAATGCATTCTCAACTTCAATAGAGTAATCTAATTCACCAGCTAGGCTCTTCCCGAATTCATTAACATAGAGAAAAAAGTGGCTTATTGTTAAAATTAATGTTTACGAACTTATTATTAAGATGCTACAAGTTGCTCTACCTGAGGCATGAATTGTATGTATTTATTAACTTATCTAAATTCCGTGCATTCATATTTTACATAGTATATATCCTAGCTTTTTAGTTATTTTTCAGTATGCTTCAAAAACTTACGCTTTTACGCTTTGATTCTACGCTTTACGATTTTACCCCTTTTCCGCTTCTAGGTAGAATCGCGCTTTTGACTGCATTGCTTATGACTGGTTGGTTCTTGAGTCGTCATCTTTCTCTTGACAACTAAGAAGCATTGACCTTGATTGTTTTACTCCGAACCTTGTTTCGGAGGCGTTTATTCGATTTCAAGTTGATAACCCAAGTAAAAAGGCGATTTTGATACTCTCATATGACAAGTGAGGAATTTAAAGCATTGGTGATTGAGTTTTAGTATTTGAAGTTGTATTTTTAACATTATGGTATAACTTAAGTTGTATCTATACTCTCTTTAGAAATCCATTTATGATACAAATTAAAGTTGTACATTTAATTTATGGTACATTTAAGTTGTACTTCAAGTTGTAATTTTTTTTTTGACGGAATTCAAGTTGTAATTTAAAGCACCAATACTTGACAAATTATAGAAATAAAATAGGTAATGTGTAGTTTTTATTATGTAGTAACCGAGTGAAAATAAGTTGAGTATAGTTACAGAAGAGTATCGGGAAAAGAAGAGAGGGAAAATAAGTTTGAGTCTAGTCAAGGAGGAGTAGAGGGAAAAGAAGTCGTGTCTAATAGTCAAATTTTATTCAAAATAATAGGTGTACTTTTTCGAAAACAATTTAATACTCAAATCGTCAATTTTTCGTCCAGTCAATCATTAGTTGACTATAACGTGGCCAATACATGCTAACATGGCTTAAAGTCAATAATTCGACTGTGCCACATAGATATATATTAATTTTAACTAACCTTTATAATTAAAAGAGTAATAACATTAAACAAACCTTAATCTCTTATCCTTCTCCACTCTCTTCTCCATCAAAGAATTTTCAAAACAACTTCAATCAAAGTCGCTTTGTGAGATGGTGCTGACTGACAACGAGGTTTGTCGGGAAGCTTGCTGGTCAATCGAAGAAGAGGAGTAAGGCGAAATGAATATCGACATTGAGATGGTGCTTTGTGGGATTCATAAAAAAGAACCCCCGTAACAGAGCTGGATCAGTGAACTTAGTGGGAATGTAGATGAGGTTGTCTGATGGTGAGGTTTCGGCGGAAGTCTGGAGGTCAATCCCTAGTTGCGAGGATTGACTAAGCAAAGCGGTGTTCTGATCCTTTCGTTGTATTAGGCCGGTCTGTTTGTGTCTAGATACTCACGAACCCGGATCTTCGTGCATTTGAGATTCCCTTGACTCTTCGAAGGCGCCTCACCTGCACACCACACTCACAAAGGAGGGTGCCAATGCCACGATCAAATTAGTCCGAATTCTAGAGAGAGAAGTGCTAAGCTCTAGTTTAGTGAGAGAATCCAATCCGCATAAATGATACCTACCAGCGCTATTTATACTTTCCCAACCCTCGACCGGGCTCCTTCATTTCTGCCCTACGTCATCATTGCATTAAATGCTCCGTACCTTCGAAAGGCTAGGCGCCCCGACCAATATGTCAGTTTTTCTGACAACGGTCAGGCGCCTAGGCGGAGACCATCGATAATTCGTACTGTTTTGTCACCACACACCTTTTTCTCTCTGTTCACTTGCAACCCACCGGGCTAACCACTCTTTTTAGGCTTTTTAGGCCTGTATTTGGGCTTGTTCCATTGTTACACCCACAATGACTCTTTCCGGGAGCGGCTCACAATACTGCTTCTCCTCAACCACTTTCATAGATGCTTTTTGGTAGTGTAGGGGAAAAGAAGACAATTCAAGGTGCCTAGGTGTTCTGGTTGGCTAGTAAACTTGATCGACGAACAGGAAAAAATATGACAGATCAGCTCGTTGACTCTGCTGACTGTAGGAGCAAAGCAGAGAATGGAAGAGTTTAGCAGGTGAGCGAGAGGGGAACACCACCCTTTTGTTAAATTTAGGATATTAATTAATAATTTGGAAATTTTAAAAAATGGAAAATAAATTATTTGACGTGTACAACAACTGGCCACATCATAGTCAACTAAGTACTAACGGTTAACTAGATGGAAAATTGACAGTTTGACTATTAAATTATTTTTGAAAAGGTTTGGCTATTATTTTATTTAAAATGAAATGTTTGACTATTATATTTTATTTAACCTTCCTTTTATAGCCTCTGGATGCACTGAGAGCCAATCTTTCTAAGGGCGGAGAGAAGATGATACAATTGGGGATATGGAGTTTGTGGCATATTTATATATAGATGATAATCCCCATTGGATATCTATTGATGAATAATATGCATCATTAAAACCTTGTTAGTAAAAATCCAATGAGATCATAACCAAGTAGAGGAAAAAGAGAACATTCTCGTAATACTTTTTGCATACTCTCTCATTAGAATTTTAACGGGAAAACCCAGTAGAAATAGACAAAGGTTAAGGAAAAAAGAATGCAGTACATAATGTCTTCCCCCTCATGAAAAATCTAACACTAGCTTAGAGTCATTGAAGAGTACGAATGAGTTCCCTGCACTAGTTAAATTGTTAAAAAAAAAGGTGTGAATGAAAATAAAAACGGTACGAAGGGGCCATGAAAGCCTCTAAGAAAGTAAAAAAAAAATAGTTATTGATGATAGTGCTCTCATGGAAAATGCGAGGGTTTAACAACCCTTCAAAACATGAGGTAATAATAGAAGTAATCTACAAAATACTATAAGGCAATGTCAAAAAATAGCCTTTGCCACGTCAGCCGCTGCTGAAACGGCCGCACAATTCGGAAGGCCTTTATGGACATTTCCCATCCATCTCTCCCTCGCTCGCTGTCTTCCCATATTCTGCGATTTCTTTTCTTTTTTTTTTTTGCCCCGGAGAAACCAGAAAAAGTGATTTCTCTCTCACCTCTATGAATACTCTCTCGCCCCTCTGTTCAGCTCACAAACACTGCGACATTCCTCTTTGACACACCTAATCTGAATTAAAAATTCTCCACATTAGGCCTCTCTGTTCTTCCTCAATCTTCGTTGTATTTGCTTTCAAATTTGGTCTGGCTTGCAATTGCCCAGAAAAAAAATCCCAACTCCTCTTTGTCTAGCCGTCTTCCTTTAGCCGCCTCTGCTGACAATAGGCCAGACGTTCCTTTTGCCACACTGCATCTGAATTTGAAATCCCCCACAGTAGGCCTCTCCGTTCTTCTCGATTGTAGTTGTGTTTGTAGCCATTTGCTGTCTTGCAAGCCCATAGAAAATGTCTTGACTCCTCTCCGCCTCGCCGTATGTGCGATGTGCCCTCTTCTTTTGCGTTTTCAATGGAAAATCTATCCACTAGCTAATTAACCAGTTCCAATCATTTATTGAGAAATCAAAATCATATTCGGTCAATACAATCTAGAAGCTATGTGAGATATTTGCGACAAGAAAAATCTGGAATTATTGGGAAGAGGAAGAACCCAGAATGTTGAAAGAGGGAGGAGCTAGAAGAAGAAGTCTCTGGAGAAGGAAGAAAGAAAGAAATAAAATCTTTATTTAGATTTTTTCTTGGTTATATCGGTTTAGTATTATAAAAAGGGGTCTTGGGTTTGTGACGTGTTGTAAGTAGTGGACTCGTGGAGTGAGCAACAAAAGGATTAGAGAAGTGATAGGAAAGTTAGAAAAGAGAGGGAAGAAAGAGAGAGACGTGAGAATTTAGGGTAGGTGAGAAGATTGAGTGTGGTGAGAGGAGTGCGAACTTGAGAGAGTGGCTATGGTGTGGTGAGGTTTATTATAGTGAATGTGAGCTTAAATTGTAAATTTACAAGTTAGTTTGTAAAGTTTGTTAGAATTATAATTTTAGTCATCACACTTTGTAAGTACTATTTCAAAGCATACGTGACCCAGTAAAACTCTACATCATTTGTGCTTAGTCTTCCGACGATTCCATATTGCATCAATTCCCTTCGTAAAATTAGTCCTACTGTTGCATTTTATATGGGATTAAGAGACAATTTCTCGGTGGGGTTTCCCTGATTGCAACAATGTTGTCGAAGCGTCTCCATGATTACACTTTATGTAGATCCTCCATTCAATTCTAACTCTGCTACTAATCGATTTAAATACTCATTTTGTTCTTAGTTTTGTTGTTGTCCTGTGATTGGGCGTCTTATATGTAAGGAAATTATAGCTTATTTGATTTGTATTCCCTTCTGTCTTTTGTTAGGGAAAGGAAGGAAAATCAATTTGTGTCTCACTAGAAGGTCCGATAGTAGCTGAAGTTGACATGGAGAGGGTGTGTTTTGAGGGTGATAGGTGAAATTGAATATTTTTTTGTATTGATTTGAAGTTACCATTTTTCTTAGTTGTCTACATCTTATTGATAGTTATTGACAAGTTGAAGCCCGCATCACTTGCGTGGATCGCTATATTGCGACTTTAGCTAGGATGAGAAGAAAGTTCCTATTGGTGGTACGATGGATGTATCAAGTACGTTTTGTTTTAGTCCCCGATATGTCACTCTTTGCCTTTTACTTATCTTTAGCTGTTTGAAGTTTGCTTACATGAGTTGTACATCATCAGTGATTCATCAAACGACTTTGTGGAGAAGTTTTATGATATTTTTCTACAGATACTTATGATTTTGCTTGAATTCTACAACTGGGATTTTTTTACGAATAAGTTCTAATTTACCTATTAACAATTTTTTGTGTTAAATTAAAAAAAATTGTTTACGGTTGAAGGGAACGTGATTCAAGTACGTCTTAATTGGTGCTACATGGGGTATGTTGTATGCCCTCACAAGGTGGAATGAGATTTAGAAGAGTACTTTTGTGGACACTGTAAGATGACTTCTTCCAATATTGCTAAAGCCAAGTAAGCTTATAAGCTGATTCTTGCTTTGTACATTTTGTAATCTGCACAGTTTGTTCCTCCATTTTTATAGGAAAGTAGGATTTGGCTGCACGTTATGGATGATGCATACAGATTTATGACATTGTTGAATTTTGTTTCATTTTCACCATAGGTTTAGAGTCAAACGCCAATTGCAGGATGATACGGAAGAAGCTTATTTTCCATTTAGAGCTTGAAGATTTGCGCTTTTTTCGGAGTGATGGCTGATGTGTTATTTCATTTAAATCAGAGGAAGAAAGAACTCATTCCGTCTCATATCCAACAAATTGTTAACATGACACTCAAACTTCATTTTAAACTTACTCAATTCAACTTCTTGAACCCACAAACTGAGTATAAGTGGTTAGCATTGATCACGATCCACTTCAGGTAGGTGATGACCACTTCAGCTGCACATCATTTCCGTTTACCTAAGGGATTCAAGATTATTTTCGTGTTTTACAACTCTATTATTAATGTAATTTGATTGCAGCAACTGATTGTGACCCCAAGTCCTGTGACCTTGAGGAGGAATAGTATTGTGTGGAAACTTTGTGTAGTGAAGAGCCACAATGTGAAGCTTCTAATCAATATTCTGTTTTCATTTAAGGGGTATTCGGTATTCTAATTTCTTTCAGGTTGATATTGGAACTCCGTTTCTAGGTTTTCCTTATGGATTTTCTCCTTTTGTTCAATTACAATTATGGAATACATTAGTGTTCTTCGACTACAATCTTTTCTTAAATGTTGGATAATTTTTCCCTTATGAATTGTCTTCTTTTGTTTTTCAAGTTTGGTTTAGCAGTGCCAAATCAATCTCAAGTTAAGTCGAGTCTCAATGTAGATCTGTATGCCATGAATGAAAGCTCATGAGAAGGTTAGCTGCATTTGTTTTGACAATTTGATTGTTAGTGTTTTTTCCCTTCTTACTACCCTAATGATGTGTCGTCACTTTGCACTTTAATTTGGAGGATCGGAGTTTTGTATAATTATATATGTCTACAAACCAACTATTGATTAATTACTATTATGCTTCATTAAATTGAAATCCAAAATGGATGCTTGATAGCGTTTATATATAGACTCTATTTTATATAGTTGTTTTCCACGAAATAATATCTTTTAATATAAACATATCTTTAAGTATAACCATTACCTTCAGATTATGCTTCAGGTTCATAACGACACCGGCCAACGGGCCGGGCCCACTGCTAGTAAGTAGATGTAAGGTGGATATACTAGTTATTTTGGAGACAAGAGTCAATGGAAAAAATGTGAAGAAAATCACTGGAAAAAGTTTTGGCGATTAGTTATTGATGTCCAACAGATGAAATGACTATGTACAGATATTCTAAGGAAGATTCATTGCTCAGAGGCTTGGATGGTTGTGGGGGACTTTAATACTATTCTTGCATACAATGAGGCATATAACAATGTGGACTTAGAGGGATAGTGTTAAGGATTTTTAAAAATGGATTGATGTGATGGAGTTGAGTGATCATTGAGCTGATGTGCGTTGGCATACCTGGGCCAATAAGCAACAAGACAACCCTATAATGAAGAGATTAGATAGAGCTTTAGAATGGTTGGCTAAATATCCTTGTAACTGTGTTAAAGCTCTTCCTCCAGGGGTGTCTGACCATTATGAGTTGCTTATATACACAAATTATAGAATGAAAAGTTTGTCAGAGTGAAGTTAGGGATTATGTAAGTACCGTGTCTATCAAAAGTTACAAAAGGTAAAAGAGAAATTGATTAGAGTGAACAAGATTCATTACTCTGAACTACATGAAAGAGTAAGAGTAGCAGCAACAACTTTAGTAGTAGCCCAAATAGAAGCCTTAGAGCGCTCTGTCTCTGAGGCTTTTGCCAATGAAAAGAGGTGTATGGTCCATCTTCTAGGCAGATGTGGATCCAAAAGTGGTGATAGTCGAGTGGAAGTAAGATAGTCGAGGAGCACAATAGGGTAAGAAGTTAATGCAGAAGGAATGGAGCTTACATATATAGAAGAACAGAGGTTGAGGCAGTGGAGTTGTACAAAAATTTGCTAGGTGTAGATGGTAAGGAAATCAAAAGGGTTGAGCATGATGTGCTTGAGAAACTACTATTTCATCAACTCCCAGAAGATTTGGCTAATATCCTATGTACTCCAGTTACTAATGAGGAAGTTAAAATGGTGTGTTTGTGGTGACGAATTAGAAGAGCCTAGGACCAGATGGCTAGTTTGCAAAAAATTTCCAACATAATTGGGATACCGTAGGACTAGAAGTAACAAAAGGGGTACATGAGTTCTTTCAAAATCGAAAAATGCTATGAGTGATAAATCTAACTATCCTTACTCTTAAACCGAGTTGGGGCCTGATACTATACCCTAACCTCTAATAGATAAATCACAGGCCTCAATTCTCTAAACCGAAACCCGAAGTTCAATTTAAGATAAAACAACAATTGACCGTTGAGATTGGTCGGAGCTCATCGAAGTATATCTTATGGCCAGATCATTTGGAGCGTACACCTGTACGCTAACCTACTGTACGCCTGTTGAGTTTTGCTATTTAGATCATGAATTAACCGAGTTTGAGGTATGATAGTATACACTAACCTCGAATGGGTGAACCTCAATCCCTAATTTTCTAACCCAAACCATGAGCTTCGTTTAATATTAAAATAATAACCAACGGTTCTAATTCGTCGAAATATATCAAAGTACAAATCATATATATATAGTGCCTTCTCTCGTACCTTGGGTAAAACTAAGGTACCATATACTCTAGTAAGAAAATGCTATCTAAACCTAGAATTAACAAGATTTCGGGGCATGACATTATACATTGACTGAACCCTAGGTTTTAGTTATCCAAATCATAGGCCCTAAACCCTAAGATTGTGCATGTAGTTTGTTGCATATATTTCGACATCATGACCGTCGATTGTAGTTTCTGATTAAATTGATCTTTAGTGTATTAGATTTTTAGATTTAAGACCTAGATTTTAATCTTTAAAGGTCAAGGTATAGTGTCATGTCCCAAATTCTGGTCAATTCAAAGTCCAAACATAATTTTTTACTCACGGTATGTCGTACCTTTGATTTTACTCAAGGTCATGGTTTGTCCTGATGAGGCATCAGCAATTCGATTGGGTTTAGAGTATGGTCATCTCCCTTCTATATGTCCTTCATGCCTCTCATTTGGATTGGCTTCTGAATGTGTTTCAAATGGTGGAGTTAAGGTCAAGGTTCGAAAGAAAATTTAATGAATTATGAAGATTCTATCGTTGAACACCCTATTGTGGTGTCAAAAGGTAAGAAGGTGATAGATGGCCCTTGTTGGAGTCCATGGTAAGCACTGAGGTTGGATGAAGTTTACTCATTGGCTCGAATGCAACAAGGGTTGGGCAGAAAAGAAGGGATGACAAGTCTGTGGCTCCTGTGAACTTGGAAGCCTCTTTTTAAGCTACGTCAATACCTAGTTCTCATGTGCTAACTTTTGAAGCTGGGTTGGTAAAGGTTGCGAATGACATCAGTTCAAACCAGTCTCTGCGCAGATTATTCTAACAAGTGTGCTCCCTCTTTCTTAGTCCTCATTTGATATTTCAGCAGGATTGATGAGGGCGACGGGATTAAGAAGGAGGAAGCTTCCAAAATAGGTAGTAAGATGTTAGGGCAATAACCCTCTTCCTTGGGATGATTTTTCTCATATAAAAGGTTTAACAAGCACTCACAGAGTAGGGATTCCTTAAAATCACGCGGAAGTATAAAATTGATGTGGTTGCACTATTATAAACTCGAGTTTATGAAGCTAAGGTTAAAGAGAAGATAGAGGGATTCTTTGATGAATGGGAAAAACATATCAACTATGTGGATTCAGATTCAGGAGGATTTGGTTCTTTTGGTTGACTGATTTCGTAGTAAGGGTCCTAACATTTGGGAAGAATTTTGTTCATTGTTTGGTAAAGGGTCCTGATGGTGAAAGCTCCTTTTTTACATAGGTATATGGTTCTAATAAGGATATTGAGAGGAAGAGTACTTATGAGGAGATTTCTAGGTTCAAAGTGGTGGGGGCTCGTGGATTATTTCGTGTCCACCATGAAAACGGCATCCTCATCGTTTGTCAAAGTTACATGTTGCAAATTATCTTCCACATCTTGTTTCCATTGAAGTGTTTACTTGCTTTGGGTGCTCTTTTTTCCACCCATAATTTCCTGTCGCCTTTCTTGCTCATTTAAGGCCATTTCACTTGTATTTTGTCTCACACGCTTAAAGTTTGTACCTTTAGCAACATCTTGTACATTTTTATAGACCTTTTTCAAGGTCAAATTCTACTTCGTAACCAATCCAAATTCTTATTGTAATTTGAAAGCAGTATAACTCTCTAAGGATCTTCGTCGTCGTCTTGCAATCACAACGATTGACGGAAAATCTAGGGTTCCACCCAAAACCTAATTTCTCTCACGCTCCAGAGCTCTCGCCTATCGAGAGAAATTTAGGGTATTACAACTTACAAAACTTGTACGAACATTTGTGGCCTCTAAAATATGATAACCATTTTATTAACAACCCAATTTTAAGTGACCATTTAAGTAAATTACCCAAGGATATCCATCCTCAGGAAGAAAGCCGTGCCAAGGAGGCCAGGACTGACCGCTGAAGCGGTCAAGCGGCCAAGCAAATACATCACCTAACATCCCTTCGACTCAAAGCTTCAGAAAGCGTCGATTAGACCACCGGAGAAACCGCACCGTCGCTGTCTTCTCCCCCCCTGCGAACTTGAGTCTACCCAATCGTCCGCATCCCTCCCTCTCCGCCTCTGCTGATCGACTGCCTTTAAAAATGGCCGGCGACGGCATCGTGGATTCCTCTCCGGCGGCTCCGTCCTGGTTCACTCCCAAAAGGCTAGCTCTCTGCTTTCCTTCCTTCTTTTTGCTTCGCTTTATGGTCGATTACAGTAATGATGCTGAACTGGTGGAGACTGGAGACTAAAACTACTTTCTCTTCATTTTGTAGGTTACTCCTAATTTTCTGCGCGGTTAATATGCTGAATTACTTGGACCGGGGGGTGATTGCCAGCAACGGGGTGAACGGAAGTCTAGAGACTTGTGATGACAAAGGGATCTGCAGTTCGGGCACCGGAATTCAGTAAGACTTAAGCCTCTTGAAAATCCCAATTCGGGTTCTCGTTTCGTTGGATTGGCTGATCGAGACCTAGGAGCAGAATATGTGTAAGCGTAAATTCTGCTAGCTCCTTTACAGCCTTCCTTGAATTGTGGGTTGCAGGGGTGATTTTAAGCTGAACAATTTCGAGGATGGCGTTCTTTCGTCGGCATTCATGGTGGGGCTTCTAGTGGCATCTCCTATTTTTGCTTCCTTAGCTAAGAGGTGAAAAACTGATAAACCATTTTCTGTCGATGTATTTGCATACTGCCTCCAAAGCCAAGCCCCCTGTATGCGAAAGCTGTAGAGGCATGCTACTTGGGTTAAATCATTCATGTCTCTCATCTTTTCTTTTTCACCCTTGCAGTGTTAATCCTTTTAGGCTTATCGGGGTTGGATTATCTGTTTGGACATTTTCAACTGCCGGGTGTGGGTTCTCGTTTAATTTTTGGTCTATTGCAGTATGCCGTATGTAAGTCTGTCCTGATCTTGATGATTTGTGATCATTTGGTATGATCATCGCTTTTCCCATTTGGTATTGAATAGTTCGAGGCTGAATTTTATTCCTTTAGGCTGGTTGGTGTTGGTGAGGCTTCATTTATAAGCCTGGCAGCTCCATTCATAGATGACAATGCCCCAGCTACTGAGGTATATCTCATTCCATCCTTGCTACTCATTCTTCTAAGGAATCTATTAAAGTTGATTTCTTTCGATCCATTTCCTTAAATGTGCTCTGATTGATTAGCTCTTTGAGATGTTTACAGAAAACGGCTTGGCTTGCAATGTTTTACATGTGCATACCAACTGGAGTTGCTTTAGGTTACGTCTATGGTGGAGTTGTAAGTTACATCTCAGACTATCTGTTCAGTGTTGTTTCGTTAGCTTCTTCAATCCAGTTGTCATAGTTCTGGTTTTATCTTCTTAATCAATGTCAGGCCAATCAATCGAATATTGAATAATACATAATTGATTGAACACTACTTGAAAAAGAAAATGGCTCTTTTGCCCATTAGACCATTTGTATTTATATGCATTAGAATCCCAATTCACGATCTCTCGGTTTGAGAAAAAAATAAATAAATAAGAAGATCGAACCATTTCTGCTGACTCTGTTTAAAATTTAATAAATGTCCGTTGATCGTATATTTCATTATAGTTCTATGATTCAGAGTATCATTTTCTATTTGATCCCTTTCGATTCCATTGATACAAGATTTCTCTGTTATCTTTCGCTTTTTTTTTTAATTTCACTTTGGAATAAGATACTGGATACATTTCGAATTGAGTTTTCTCAAGTTCATCAGTTGAGATCCTTTGAGGCGGTTTAATGTTCTGTTCAAAGAAGCAATTGAAGTAATCTTCAATATTTTCTCAAATGTTCAGGTCGGAACCTATTTAAACTGGCGCTATGCGTTCTGGATTGAGGCACTTTTGATGCTTCCATTTGCTGTTTTTGGATTTCTCGTGAAGCCTTTGCAATTGAAAGGTGCCTTTAATTTTGTTCTGTCTTATCTATTGTGAACGCTATAATATTGTATATAATCTGACTTTATAAACGGAATTTTTTATCCTAGGTTTTGCTCCTGCTGAGTGCAAAGTTCCACTGGCTGAAAGAGCTTCTGCTACCGAGGGTATTGTGTTTTTCCATACTGTTCCTTGTTTCTGAACCAAATATAGCGTCTTGTGCATTTTTCTTTCCACTAGGTGGACTTATGACCGTCACAGTAGGCTAGCAAAGCGACTCCTGCATAAACCAGTTCAACTAAAAATCTTTTTCTAGCTAACCATCATTTAAGATAGAGCGCAAGCTTAAAAATGATTCCACTTCCTTAATATTGAAGGAACGACACTATCTTTCATAATTCTAGTTTAACTCTTTCAACTGTTATTTATCATCAAACACCACTTCTTAAATTTGTATAGACATTCTTTCCCCCATTTTGTGTGGTAGAAAAGAAATGAAGATGACCTCATACTTGATTGAATTAGAGTGATATCATGTTGATGAATATGTTGATGTATTACAAACTTAGTTGTAACTTTCCTTATGGCATATTTAGTAGCACTGTCGCAAACTTTTTGGAGCACCTTGCTTCCAAAGTGATTTCCCAATCCCGGTCTTCAGACAGAGTTGTTGTTTTTATGGATGTGCATGTAGAGGCTTTTTCTTGAAATTGGAAACACATGCATAAGTAATTGATAGTAAATAATTTATATGACTTCAATATTGTACCTGTTTCACATCCAAAATTGCAAGTTATCTTCTTTCAGTTTACCAACTAAACTTCTCTTTTAGATGAGCCCTCAGGCACGGCTGGCATAGTTGCTGAAGGTTCCAAGTAAGTTGATTTTCTGGTACTGTTTTCAGTATTTGATCTACCGATTTCAATTTATCCCCCCTGTTTTAATGGATGCCAGATAAGCTGCTCCATTATTCTCCAAATTCAGGCCCTGAGGACCCTTAGCTCATTAACTCATTCATTAGCATCCTCTTTATCTCAAGTGATGGGTTAGGACCATCCTATCGGGACATGTTACTAGTTAGGTCCCTAGTTTCTTAAAAAAAAAGGTTTGCCTATTTTCCTGTAATTTAAGACGAGATAAAACCTAAGGATCTTGAAATCCGAACGCTTTTTTTACTCGGTACCTTTTTCTCTGTTCTTTTTCCTTTACTAGAAATACGTTACAGGCAAAGTCAGTAAGTTATAGCTGTTTCTTGACTTTCTTCAGTCATCCTCAAAAGAGAAATCTGTTTCTTAAGTCTAGGAATAAAACAATATCGCTGTATGGTAACTACTCATAGACTGCATCACCTAAGCAGAGGACAAAGTAACTACCATATTTGTGAATTTAATTAAGCCCAGGTACCTGGTAGGCCCTATATTCTACAGGACAAATGGAAAACTTTCATCAGTCTGTGAGCCATAACTGTCTGAAACAAACTTTTCTCACTCAGATCAAGTATAAGAATGGTGTACTTTGAAACAGTTAAAACTATTCTGGTTCACGCCTTGGCAATTAGCATATCATTCTTTCAACAGAAGCTTTTAAGTTCAGTTGAACTGTGGAACCCCAAGATGCACTTCCCACAAGGCCACAACCCAGATACCCTTAGTGATTGAGGAGCAACAGGGTTATGGGATCAGATTCCAAATTAGGGGTTTCAGCTGGTTTTGACACAATGCTATTATTGCTATGGTGACTTAAAAGGTTGTTATCATCAGTGAGGATGTGGATACTGTGTAGCTCTGTTGAAGTTAGATTTTGCACCTGATATTGAACAAACTGTTCGAAGAGATGCTAATACTATGGATAACAAGTCGAGATTCATGTCAGTTGTTTGGGGTCGGTCAGTGCAGGTTCTGAGACCTTTTCTATTATCAATCTATCCTGATACTGAAAAGCTTCTATTGCTCTTGAACAGCAGTATGCCTTGAAATCAAGCGATCACATGATTCAACTACGTACCAAACTGTTCTACAGCACTGATATTACAGGAAAAAATTGTTGCTTTTTGTATTGCAGGGAAAAGTCTACACCCATGATAATGATCCAATTGTCGCTTGTTTTAAAGGACTTGAAAGTGCTTTTACTGGATAAGGTTTATGTCGTAAATGTTTTAGGTAAACCTTCTCTTCTACTTTACTGATTCACTGCAAGCATTGACCAATCAGCGTTGAAATTGTGGGATCGTTTTCCATGTCCCATCTTTGTTTTCTCTTTTGTAGACCTCTGAATTGATTGGTTAACAGTAGTATTCCATAGGTGTCTGATTGTCATTATGATTATAAATTGTTTATCAGGTTACATAGCATACAATGCAGTGATTGGAGCATACTCTTACTGGGGGCCAAAAGCTGGCTATAATATTTATAATATGGTAAGCAGTAATTTTACTTTTCCATTGAACGAATTTTTATAACTTGTACACTGTTTTGGTTTAATTGTTTGTTCAGAAATGCTGATGCTTTGTTTGATCAGGTATCACTTCCTAACATCGCATTTGTAGTGCTTTAACTAAGTTCCTGTTTTGATAGAGCAATGCTGACCTTGTGTTTGGAGGGATTACTGTTGTCTGTGGAATTTTCGGAACACTAGCTGGAGGGTTCATACTTGACCATATGACTGCTACAATCTCAAATGCTTTCAAGGTGAAGTGTTTCAAGAAATTTATTTGGATCTATTTTCGTAGCATAAACTCTTAAAACCTACTATTCTAATTGTTGGCGGTTCCAATATGGATCAATGGCTTGGAAACAATATGCTTTTGGCTCAGTTTTTCACTTATTCGTGCAGCTTCTTTCTGGGGCGACACTTTTAGGTGCAATCTTTTGCTTCTCCGCCTTCTGTTTTAGAAGCCTGTCCGGTTTCATACCTGTTTTTGTGGTGGGTGAGCTATTGATTTTTGCAACTCAGGTAATACTCATCTGATTAACACTGCTTTTGAAAATTCCCCTTCCCTTCACTTTTTTGTTGTGGAAAAACTGTTGCTAGATTTTTAATGTATTCTGTGTGCCCATGCGAGATGCTGCGACCTTAACAATTCTGATGTATGGCCATGAAGTTACAGTACCTAACCATGTCCTGACCTATTTTTCGTACTGACTTTCGTGCTGATCTTGGATTTCCAATCGTAGAAATTGTTTTTAACCAATAATTATAAAATGAGGTGGTCTTCAGAGTCTCAATTTTTACTTTAATCTATTGGTGCCTATGTTCAATTGGTCTTTTGCATACACAGGTTTTCTGTATTACCGTTTCAGAAAATTTCAGCAATATTGTCTAGTTTCCGTATGTGCTGATACTTTCGCTATGCATTTGGAACCTGGAAGATTTTATAAGAACCCATGAATGATGGTAATTCTATGGTTGGCCATGTCAGCTTCGTAGCATGCCACTTTGTCATTGAGCGGCAAGACCCTTAAAAATATCATTCAGTTGTCTTCAGCTTTGAGATCAACTAAAATTCTTGCAACTTATATGCTAACATAGTTTGTGGCTTTTGGCTCTACAGGCTCCAGTAAATTATGTGTGCCTCCATTGTGTCAAACCTAGTATGAGACCAATATCGATGGCTGTATCTACCGTCTCCATCCATATCTTTGGCGATGTGCCTTCCTCACCACTTGTTGGCGTCCTCCAGGTTGGCTACCCTTTTAAAAAGAGCTTGCCTATATTGATATGTTGTTATGCGTGCAGATAACCCACTCCATATCTCCACCTATGTACTTATATAGCTCGTAGAAGAATGTGTCTTTTCAGATAAGGCCTGCATTGATTTCAGTATTGCTGCTTATCTGTCCTCGTTTGTTATTTCTAATCCATTTCAACTTCTAAGGCGATCATTTTACCTTCCCCAATGTGAATGCAGGACTCTATCAACAACTGGAGAGTAACCACACTCATTTTAACCTCCGTTCTGTTTCTCTCGTCTGCAATATGGTTCATCGGTAAGTGAAATTTAATATCTTTATTTCCCTCTCAGCAAATCATTTTTCTTCCACAAGGAATCGTGATGTTAGCCTATATTTGTTTCTGCTTCTGTTTTGTGGACCTGCCAATTTTTGTCTCTTATTTGTCCGCCCATTGTTTTATTGCACAACTATTTATCGACAAGTCTGCTCAACTCCCCTTTAGTTTGTCTCTTGTTTTGAGCATCGACTTACTAGTCCAATAATGCTTCTGGATGGGCCATTTCCCCTGATGAGTACCCTATTGTGTGACCTGTGCATTAACCAGGTGTGTTTCTGAAAAGCAATGACAAGTTCAACGAAGATGGTGAAGAAAACGAAGTGCCTACAGGTCCCAAGGCTGCGTCGTTGGAGCCGTTGCTCGAAGAAACAAGGAACGACATCCCAAATAACTTCTGATGCATGTATATAAAATCTAGCTATGTATAATGCACATCTTATTTTCCAGATTACACACTCAGCTTAGGCAACAAACATACGACGACTTCTTGGATGCTGTGTATTCTGAAGTTCTTCTATTTGTAAATAGTCCCCGCACGCCTTCAATTTCCATACTCCTCTTTCCTTGATTCAAATACTGTCACATGTGCTGGCAGTCACCTTCTGTTCCATTACAATCACACAGCAATGGAGAAGCTTTCAGTTCATTTGTCTCTTGCAGTTAAGGGTGGAAATCGGTACGGTATCGGTATTTCAATACCAAATATCGAAATCCTGAATACTGAATTAAACCCTAAAATCAATCCCGAATACTTCTCAAGTTAGTTGCTTGGTCACATGTCCCCGTCTCTTTCGAGATAGATAGAGAGGATGGGAGGTTTTGAGCTCCATCAAGTACATGGCATTCACTGTGATCATCAGTTTGCTTTGCTGCTGGTGGTAATTGGCTAACAGTGTTTCCTTCACTCGTGGGGAGTCTTCTTTTTGCTTCCTTTCTTTTGGATTCCCTCTTGTTTCTGGCAATTGCAGAGTTGCCAGCTTGATGAGAAATGCCGTGGTTGCTGTTTCCCCTGCCCACTGGCCTGGATTTTGTATCGTTGTATGGTAAGACTGCTGCTTCCAATCACTTTCCTTATCATGAGCTCAACTTCCCATTTCGTGGTCCTAATATAAAATATCCTTGTCTTCTGATAATTTTATTTTAGGTAATATATAAAAGTATAATTTTGTCCCCTCTGAACCTAGTCGTGTTGTGCGCTACTTTATTTTGGGGACTCAAAATAAGAATTATTGTGCGCAAATATTGTATTTTTCTGTTTGTGTATATATTGTGCGGAATATCTGTTTTATAATTAGTCTCTGAACCTTGCGGATCCTGCTTATGGATACGTATGTCCATCTCTTGATGTGTCGTGAACATTTTTTAATTAAAAATGCAATAACTCTTGATCTTGCACTATATATTATATGCTACAATACCTCAAGGTTCAGGAAACTCTACCAGAGGTTATACCGGAAAAGTGAGTTGTAGGTTATTTTGTACTAAAATCGTGGTTTAACCGTGACTGAACCGTTTTCTACCGCTAAAACCGCCTACCATTTTGAGTCCGGTATTTTCGGTCCGACCAGCCAGTACGGTTGGGTTTCCTAAACCTTGCAATACCTTGACAAATATAATATGCTCAACTCAATCAAGCTGACAAAGTGATAATCGTTGACTACATTTTTCCTGAAGAGTTCTGGGTTAAATCGAGATTTAATTTATTGGGGGTGTGTACTTTGTTCTGTAACACAATTTGCTCCGCTTTATAAGGTTATGGTATAATGTTGGTATCGGTTTCATACCTACTACTTTCTACAGTGACTCTAAAAAATGAAGTAATTACTACCAAATTATTGATAAACCAACAAGAACCAGTCTGATATTCGGTTGAACCAAAATTACGGGATGGGCCAGTCAGATACTTGGTTAACCGAGTTCACATCTCCCATATTCTCTTAAGTTTGCGGTTTATTTGTTATAATTATTATAATATAATGACGGAAGACATAGGTACAAAACCCATTAAGCCCCCATCATCTAGCCTTCATTTAATTCACCATCTAATGACTCTGATTAATTCGCAATAAAAAAAAAAGGGACGGACTGGCAATTCTACCACCCTCTACCTTATTTTTTTTGCCTCCAGCTCTGACATGGATGCAGGAGAGAGAATATACTTTTTATGATCTTCTATTTTTTTTAATCGAATCCTATAACATTTGTATTAACTCGGAATTAAAAAAAAAAATCGAATAGAAAGAACGCATTAATTATGACCTACACAATGATATCCATTTTGCTAAATTTTGAGCAAAGAAAAGTCAACTCTTCAAAACACGCGTCGGTTGTAGTATTATCATTGTCATATTGTTATGTTATGACATTGGTCTTATGACCCATCTTATTCATTTTAACTCAAAATTAAAAAAGTCGTATAGAAAGAATGCTTTAATTAAGATCTATACAATGATATATATTTTGTTATGTTTTATCAAACATAAGACCTCATACCAACATCATATCGGTGTCACACCAACATCATATCTAGCTGAGGACACGTGCCCTACGCATTTTGCTTGGGTGGCTGTGGGGAAGCCAACTATCAGGCTTATTAGAAGATGAGATGTGATACAAGATAGACTCAGATAGAGGTAGTAGGCTGACCCTTTGCCTTCAGTACCACCTACATCGAGGCTGGATGGTGGAGTAGCAGAGGATATTGCATATCTTCGATTAGCTATGCAGAGGAAAGAGGAAACCATGAACCTATACTACTAATGATTCTATATGGAATGCCTATGAGCATGATCGTAGAGATGAGCTAGAGGAAACTCAAGCTTAGCGTGCTGAGATGGATGCCATGCATCAGAGACTGGACAAGCAACAAAGGAGAGATCATGAGATGTTATAGAAGTAGAATGCATGGATGAGAGAATATGTATGAAGTTTGAGTACTACTTCGGCAATAAGAGGAGTGAAGGAGGATCTTAGGATCCTAATTTCCAGTTTGATGGGTAGTATCTATGTCTTTCTTATTGTTTTTGGATAATTTTAGGAGATGAAATAATAGCTCTCTCTCCATTTTATGCTTTCACATTACCTTTCTTTTGTTTTAATCCACGTCGGGTCCAGCCGTCAAGTGGTTGCCACTACCCTAGGGTTTCTGGAATATTTAGAGAACTTCTTTCTTTGTTCCCACGTCAAGGAATCCGTGTTCAAGTCAAAAAAGGAAGGTTTTTGGCCGAAATTACAGTGGAAAACTCGAATACCATACCACATTGATCGTACACAAGCCTTCACCTCCCTATTAGTACTATAAATAGAAGTTTAGACTAGAACTTTTCACACAAATAGACAACTCCTAGAATCGAGGCTTGAATCCTTGTTTAGAAAATATTAACAGAACATCTTTTGAAGTTCTAGCATTTCGTTGCAAGAAAGGTTTTCCATAGTTCAATTATTTTAGCATCTATTGGACAGACAAGTTCGACCAAAGTTCAGGGAAGATGCCTTCATCATCGATTGTGATATAACTCTCTCTTATGGCTGTGAAGTCCTTGTTGTTTAGAATGTGAATTCTATGATGCTTTATGTATTACTTTGAATGATTTAATGATATGCCGATGATATTTCATGTTTTATCAACTATTATGTAGGTTATTTTAGTTTTGCGTATAATATCATAATAGGTTGCTAAGAAAATACTCTTATATGGTATGCCATTGACGTATGCATGTATGAATGCAAATCTTTGTATATGCATATGATTGATAGAACTAGATCACCAATACCAAGGACCAATGCTATATGTGCTTGTAGTGGCCTTTATTAGTAAAGTGCCATATATAATTCATTCTTCGTGATTGATTGATTGGTGACATGAAGTGAAAGCACACATTACTTGATCCTAATTTCTTTTGCATGTGGCCAAAGCTCGATTAGAAATACTTTAGTGGAAGAGATGGGGGATTATAGTAGGTGGAACACATGAATGTATTATCATTAATTAGTTAGTATGAATGATCATCTAGATGAAGCTACCTAAACAATAATTTCTTATACTAGTTTTATCCTTGTTTTATCTTTGTTTTCATCATTCAATTACTTGCCTTAGTTGCAGTAGAAAAAGGGCTATCAATCGGGAACCTCAACCCATCGTGTTTACTTTCTATTGCATCGTTGTTAGAACAAAAATGATTAGTTACAAACTAGTTACTAATATAAAACTTGTGGAATACGACCCTAGAAAAAATCTAGGTTTATTACTTGTGATATACTATAATTGCATAAGCATCTCCTCACGTTTATGGGCTAATATGGAACTCTCTAGAACCGATGCTTAGGCCTCCAAATCAGGCTCCGGGCAATGATGTTGGGTAATTTCCACACCAAATTATGGGCTTCGCTCCAATCTCCATTTTTTACTTCCAACAGCCGGGCAATGATGACTCCAACTCTTACAAGGTGGTACACTCTTTAGCCTAAACACACATGAAACACTACCAAAAGTGAATCCACATAGTAAAAGTCATCCTAGGAGCTACTTATCACACCTTCGAGCATTTACCGAGCAAAACATGTAATAATATAAGAGTATAAAATAATATAATTTACGTGTCATCAGAGGCAGATTTTCCTTGTCCACTAGGTCAAATGAAATGATTTTTTCCGTGGTTTCTCCATAAGTGGTTGGAGGCTCGTAAATTGAATCGAATTGTAATATGACTTTGGCTTCAAAATACGATCATTACTTTGGCTTTAGAAAGGATAAGGTGACTTATTTGCTTTGTTTTCGTCAAGACTCTTTCGATAAAGAAAATTTGTATCCAAAGCATAAGGGGCAGTGGCGGATCCAGGGGGTGGCCACCCCGGGCCACGGCCTAGCCTCCTCTGGATCCGAAGCTAGTATAGTCCTTATGAGTTTATCGATTTTAACCATTCGGTCCAGTGTTAATTTATAATAAGATTGTGTGTAATTAGAAAAATTGGTAAGACGAACATATTCAAATCACAACTTTAAATTTAGCCTGAAAATTCTAGCTCCAATGATTCTCATCTAAAGGAAAACAAACAATGAAGCCTGAAATTTTAAAACGTAAAAGTCTAAAAGAAATATGAGGTTTATTCCCTTAAGAAATTACTAGAGCAGCTGGTGAAAATAGGTATTGATACAGAATATATATTGATTAGTCGATTGATTTGTCCAGTGTTGACATTGCTCGTTTCAACAACTACTATGCTGTATGGTGGGGAGTGTGGCTTGAGAGGAATCAACGGATCTTTGAAGAGAAGGTGTCGTGTGCTTCAGTGGTGGCTAAGAAAGCGGCAAGGCTCTCTATGGAATGGTTGGTTGTGTTCGGTAAAGTGGAGAAAACACAGGGTGAGAATTGGTTGAAAGAGGCTCTACTCGTCACTTAATTGCCCGTGGCTTTAGTGCGAGTGGTGGCTGATTGCTTGGAGGGTGTTCTGGCATGTTGATCTTGGCATCAATGTCTGGAGGGGGGATGATCGTTTTGTGCTCGGCTTTTTGGGTTGTTGGTATCCCTGTTTTCCGTGTTGGTGCTGTCTTGTTTTGCTGGGTAGCCTGTGTAGTCTGTTCCAACAGAAGTGGTCCGGCCCACTGAGTTGGCTTTCATTCTTGTTCTTCCCTTTTGGTGTTTTGT